CCCCTGACCAGCAGAGGCTGATCTTTGCCGGGAAGCAGCTGGAAGATGGGCGTACCCTGTCTGACTACAACATCCAGAAAGAGTCCACCCTGCACTTGGTGCTTCGTCTCAGAGGTGGAATGCAGATCTTCGACGAGCCCAGCGACACCACTGAGAACGTCAAGGCAAAGATCCAAGACAAGGAAGGCATCTGACTACAACATCCAGAAAGAGTCCACCCTGCACTTGGTCCTGCACTTGAGGGGAGGTGTCTAAGTTTCCCGTTCTAAGCTTTCAGCAAATTTCATTGCACTTTTCTTTCAATAAAGTTGTTGCATTCCCAAATAACGTGATTTTTCTTTTAACGTTAAGTTTCTTTAGAGTTACTATGGGGTCTGGAGGGAGGGTCTAAGTTTTCAAATATTGTGATTATGGGGTAATAGATGGTCAGTGATGGTGGATTTGTATAGAACTATAACAGGTGGTACAAAGAGAAACCAGTATATTCAGAGGTGAAAGTATTTTTCATAGGTGATTTACTGTGGTTTGGAGTGGTGTAAGACAACTGAAAATTAGGAAGTTTCTGCAGCACCAGAAAGTGTGTGGAAGGGATCTAGGTAAGAAAACAGCTTTCATACATAACTGTATAAATGTACATTGAACTAATTTGGTCAGATTGTTTTAAAAGGATGTGACAGGTAATGTGTATTAAACGTGTAATTGCAAATTATGTAGGATAGGAATTAATGGTTAAAGAACAAAAGCTGTTCAGGTTGTTAAAATGAACTTGAATTTTCAAATTTAAGGTGGGGGCTGTTGATGGTTCTTTTTCCTGAGACAGTCTCTTCCTAGGCTGGAGGGCTGTGATTTCAGCCTAGCTCTCACAGCAACCTCAAACTCTTGGGATTAAGTAATCTTCAGTCTCCTAAACTGAGACTACTATAGGTACTGGCCACCATCCCCAGCTAATTTTTCCATTTATAGTAGAGAATGGAGTCTTGCTCTTGCTCAGGCTGGACTTGAACTCAGCAGCTCAAGGGATACTTTCCCAGCCTTGGCCTCCCAGAGTGCTAGGATTACAAACATGGAGCCACCTCTTGCTGGAGGGGGTTTTTTTTGTTGTTTTTTGGAGACAGTGTCAGAGTGCCCACAGAGCTTCAAATTCTTGGGCTTAAGGGAGTCTCTTGCCTCAACCTCCCAAGTAGTATGGAGCCCACCACAATGCTTGGCTGGTTTTTTATTTTAGCTGGCCCAGGCTGGGTTCGAACTGCCAGCCTATGTGGGTGGGTGGGGCCGGTGCCCTACCCACTGGGCTACAGGTACTGCCCTGCTGACCGTTTCTTAATGTCACCTAATTGGTGGGTGAAGCAGTTGGGTTCTGGTCTTGACTGGCACAAGTGTTCGTGGCATTTGCGAAATCATCATGGTACTGGTAAGGAATTACATGTCCTAACCAGAACTAAAGGAGGGAGTTGGCAGGGAAGCTCGTTTAAACCACCTGGTGGGCATCCCAGAAATCCAGCGGCCTGCCTGTTAAAGGACTAGAAAGAAGGGGCTAAGGCAGAGTGGCTCATACTTGTAATCTTTTTTTTTTTTTTTT